GCAGACGGCGGCAGAGACGACGGAGACGGCGGAGCGAAGAACAGTCGTGTCGGCGCAGCTGCACCAGAACCAGCAGCTCCAGCAGCTCCAGTGCCTCCAGCAGCTCCAGTACCTCCAGCAGCTCCAGTACCTCCAGCAGCTCCAGAAGCTCCAGGCCCAGAGCCGACACCTCGAGTCCCAGGGTCTCCAACCTCTGTGTCTCCAGCAGCAGCACCCCCAGAACCAGCACCTCCAGTCCCAGGGTCTCCAACCGCAGGGTCTCCAGCAGTAGCACCCCCAGAACCAGCACCTCCAGCTCCAGGGTCTCCAACCTCAGTGTCTCCAGCACGAGCCCCTCCAGAACCAGCAACTCCAGCACCTCCAGTAGACAAAGGACCAGCACGACTCCGAGCTCCAGCAGCGCGACGCTGACGGCGACCGTACCAGTCCTGCAGCTGCTGTGGGGTGAGAGGCACACGGGGACGAAGGCGGCCACTCCAAGGAGACCGCGCAACAGCAGACTCAGAACCCTCAGCGCCCGCACCCCCAACGGCTCCAGAACCTCCGGTGTCAGTACCCTCAGCACCAGTACCTCCAGCGACTCCAGAACCTCCAGCGCGAGCACCCTCAACAGCTCCAGGACCTCCAGCTCCAGCGCCACCAGGACTAGGCCCTCCAGCAGCTCCTGAACCTCCAGCGCCAGCACCCTCAGTAGCTCCAGAACCTCCAGCGTCAGTACCGCCAAGCTCAGCACCCCCAGACCCCTCACACGCAGGCTCAGCACCACCAGGCTCTACACCCTCAAGCTCCGCACCCTCAGGCTCAGTACCCCCAGACTCAGCACCCCCAGGCTCCGCACCCCCAGGCTCAGCACCCCGAGCAGGACCACTCGCAGGAGGACCTGAGTCACCAGTGACCTCAACCGGCGCAGTCAAGGGAGGAGGGTCTACCTGAGAAACACCTGAAGGAGCAGGACCGGGAGCGGGGAGGGGGTCTACCTGGGGAGCACCTGGAGCAAGGAAGAGCGGCGGGGGGGGGAGCGAGGCAGTGCGGTAGGGGAAGAGACGGTAAAAGGGAACCGACTCGTCGAACGTGACGTCCTGAGACGCAAAGACACGGCGCGAGGTGGGGTGGTAAAACTGCCAACCAGGCGCGTCAGGGACAAAGCCAAGGAAGACACAGGGAACAGCGCGGGCGGAGAGCTTGTCCGCGGTGGTATCGCGGACAAAGGCACGAGCACCCCAGACCCGGAAACGCGACGCATCGCCAACCTTCCCCGTCCACAGCAGTGTGGGCGAGGTCTCCGGCAAGGAGACACGGGGCCAGAGGTTGAGCTGATGCGCGGCGTACCGGACCGCAAACGGCCACAGAAAATGGGGGGCAGCCGCATGGATCATGGAGGTACGAGCGACCTCCATGACTAAGCCAATGCGGCGCTCAGCAACCCCATTCTGCTGCGGAGAGGCCGGAAGCGTGAACGACTGGGTGATGCCGTGCTCCGCACAGTAGGCTGCCAAGAGGTCGGAGGAGAACTCACCACCTCTGTCAGAGTGCAGACGCAGGACAGGAAAGTCCGACCGGAACCGCTCGCGGAGCTGGAGACGAACAGCGCGGATCCAGGGGATCAAAACAGCAGGGACGTCCCCCTTGCTCTGCAAGGGGAAGACCGTGGTGTAACGCGTGTAGTCGTCGACGACCAGCAGGAAGTACCGCTCGCGGCCCTGTCCCTGGACGCGGGCTGGGCCCCACACGTCCAGGTGGAGCGTCTGCAGTGGAGCCTCTGTGGGAGGAAACGAGGAGGAGTGAGGAGCGGCGCGCTGCCGCCCCTCGACGCAAGGAATGCAGGGCGGCGCAGGCGAGGGAGGGAGGGTAGGCAGAGACCTGGGAAGACCAGAGACCAGGGAGCGAGAGTGCATGCTACGCAGGCGAGGCAAGGAGGGGTGACCAAGGCGGTGGTGCCACAGGAGAGTGTCGTGCGACAAAGCGCGACACTCGCAGGGGGCCGCCAGCTGACCAGACGCAGACGCAAACGCAGACGCAGCTACCTGAGGGGACTCAGTGGTCAGTGTGTACAGACTCGAGCCAGGTGCACGGGTGAACGTGGCCAAGTGCCGGCCCGTCCTAGCACACGTACAGTGAGTCACTCGCTGACTCGCAGGAGTGAACTGGTCAACCCCCCCATCCTGGAGGTCAGCTCCACTCACCAAGTTCGTAGAGAACGAGGGGAGGTAAAGACCTGACAGCGAGCCGGACGGGACGGCCGGACACGGCAGAACCGTGGAATAGTGGGCAAGGACTGGACCCCCAGAGGGGTCCGCCAGGGAGACCGGGACTGGCCGACGGAGCGGCGTAAGTGCGGTGCAGTCGCGAAAGAAGGAGCGGGAAGCTCTTGAGTCAAGGGTGAAGGTGTGCGAGACCGCAGTGGGCGCAGTACCAGAGAGAGCAGACACAGCAGCACCTGATGCCACGGCCTCACCAGTACCTAGAGCAGTAGACGTACTAGCACCGAGAGCAGCAGCCTCACCAGCACCTAGAGCAGGAGACGCACTAGCACCTAGGGCAGCAGCCTCACCAGGGTCAGGCGGTACGCACAGGCAACAGGCACGGTCAGCACTAGTAGACAATGCATACATGGCAGTGAGAATAGCATCATAGTCAAGCGCAAAGATATCTACCCTCTGTCTATGCAGCTCCAGCCAGGTGGGGAGCTCAGCCTCGTCGCCAAACACTGTGCGCCAGTCGTCGCTCAGACGGGCGAAGCAGCGGGACTGTGTGTGACCAAGCGTCCCACAAGGCTGACCAGTCCTAGCACCTGTGCGAATGACGTACGGGCAGCGGACTGTACGCGTAGACCTGCTACACTGAGCGTACCACTCCTGGAGCTGCCGGGGCGTAAGTGTCTCACGTGGACGTCCCTGCAGCTGCAGCTGGCCACTGCCAGACGCTCCCAACTGACCAGCTCCAGGGCGACAGCTACGACGGCTACCGCGACAACCCCAGCTAGTATACCACTCACTAAGCTGCTGAGGCGTCAGAGGCTCGCGTGAATGTCGCTGGAGCTGCATCTGGCCACCTGCCAGTAGCAGTAGCGCAGGAAAGGCAGGCGCGGCAGGCAGGCAAGCAAGCAGGCAGGCAGGCAGGCAGGCAGGCCGGCAGGTAGGCAGGCAGCCAGGCAGGCAGGCAGGCAGGCAGACAGGCAGGCAGGTAGGCAGGCAGGCAGGCAGGCAAGTAGACACGCAGGCAGACAGGCAGGCAGGCAGGCAGGCCGGCAGGCAGGCAGGCAGCCAGGCCGGCAGGCAGGCAGGCAGACAGGCAGGCCGTCAGGCAGGCAGGCAGGCGCTCACCAAAGGCTGGGAGAGCAGGGCCGGCGCTCGAGTAGGCGCACGACAGCGGCGACGTCGGGGCCGCAAAACCGGCTGCAGAGCAGGGCCGAAACAGCTGGAGGGCGCTGCCGCGTCAGCGGCAGTAGCAGGGTGGGGCCGCGTCAGCGGCAGGTCGGGGTCGTGGCAGCTGCAGGGCGGGGCCGCATCAGCGGCAGGTCGGGGCCATGGCAGCTGCTGGGCGGGGCCGCATCAGCGGCAGGTCGGGGCCGAGGCAAAGGGCCGCGCGCGGCCGCGCTAGGGAGTAGCGGGCCGCGCGCGGCTCGGCGCGGGCTGTTGCGGGCCGCGCGCGGGCCGTGCGAGGCAGGAGCAGGCCTCGCGCGGCTCGGCACGAGCTGCTGCGGGCCGCGCCGGGTTGGTGTATAATCATTGCAAGCAGTGGAGCAGCGAAGGGTAAGTGCCCTGCAATAATGGTGATAGCAAGGAGGGGGATGAGGAGGACCAGCGTAGGTTGAGTTTTGGAGCAGGTGTTGAAGGCTGATGTTTAAGTTGTGGAGCAGGCAGGAGGGGTGGAGCAGCGAAGGGTACGGGACGGGTCCTGGCAATAATAATGATGAGAAGAGGGCGGCGCATGAAGCATTAAATCGCGACTTTTGTTACGGTACAATAATTGCCGAATGTGTAGTAATGCACACCCATTGAAGGCGCTTCGGTGAGGGTGAGTGAGCGATTGAAAGTTGGCAGAATGATGGGCAGTCATAGAGACTATAGCAGCCGCAAAGGAAATGGGTGGTGTTCCCCTTTAGAGCAGCAGTATCGTACTTAACTTAGGGTTCTGTGGTGTTACTGTGGTGCATCGTACCTTGTTTCTGATAGTGCAAACAATGAGCAAACCTGAGATGAAATCAGCCATAACATTACCCTCTACAGCAACAAAATACGAACGGTAAGCTCTGGAATAAGCATTTGCCTGCCTCCACAGAAAAAAAAAGGAAAAGGCAAGATCCAGTTGAGATGCCCAACCCTATATGTACATGATACTATACATCTATAAATAAAGTTTCTTACCATAACACACATAGCGACATGTGAAAACTCAAACAACACTTGAAGAATCTGCGACCTAATCACCAAAGAGAAGAAATCCTCTTGGAAAAAAACATTAACAGCTTTGTCAGCTCTGACAAGCTTCTACCGTCCCTCCTTTAAGCACGCCTGTTATAGGCGCCTTGCCTTGCTATAGGAAGAGGGACATAGAGGAGAGTTGCTTGCCTCGCTGCCTTAGCCTCCTTAGAAGCTCGTATTTTGCACCTTGTGTGTGATTCCCCGACCACTTGAACATGTGCTGGTGGCATTAAGGGGGAGAGGGGGAAATGCCATGGGGGAAGGGGACTTCGCATGTCAAGACCTCTTCATAAGTAAATTAACAAGACCTCTTCATAAGCACCTGCCCCGCGCGCCACCTTGTGTGTGATTTCCTGACCACTTGAACATGTGTTGGTGGCAATAAGGGGGGAGGTGAGGAAAGAGAAGATGGAAATGGTGGGTCACACGAGAGAAGGGAGGAGGATTTGAGCCAGCCTGTAATACATAAGCTCCTTTTTGAGTTGACTCAAAAATGGGGGGTTACATGAGAAAAAAAGAGGACCCCAAGCCAACCCATAATTTAAGCTGCTACGCTGCCCCTTGTATATGCATGCGCTACTACTTGAACACCAACCACACTCCACCCATTTCACCGCACTTCACCCACCGTTCCACCGCACTGCACCGATGCCAACCCACCTGCACCTTCTCCACGCCGCGCTGCAGCTGCTCCACGGGGGCAGTCTCGAGGCGGGAGCGCAGCGAAGCAATGTCGTCCGGATCGATGTTGATGGAGAAGGAGGAGTAGTCCAGCTCATCGTCCCAGGGGTTGTCGTGGTCTCGAAAGAACGTCACTGGGATGCACCCTGATATCAACGCCTGTGGGGTTGGGGTTGGGGAAAGGCGATTGGGGGGAAGGAGAAATGAGTAGTCCAGCTCGTCTCCCCAGGGGTTGCCGTGGCCAGGGAAGAACGTCACTGGGATGTACCCTGAGATGAGCGCCTGTGGGGTTGGGGGGAGAGGGGACAGGAAGAAGTTTGCCAAGTTCAAAGGCTGCAGTAAGTAACGACGAATTCGCACGCGCGCGGTTCAGTAAGCAAACCTCAACCTGTATGATGGTGAGACGCTCTAATGCTACTTCGTAGTTGGGTTTCAACGACTCCACGGTTGGGTTTCAACTACTCCACGGTTGGGTTTCAACTACTCCAGGTTGGGTTTCAACTATTCCACGGTTGGGTTACAACTACTCTACGGTAGGGTTGGGTTACCATGACTGTAGCAATCCGAACCTTGAAGGGGCGGCCGGTCCACTGGGAGTGGCTCAGATCCCACTGGGAGAGCCCATTAAGTTGACTTCATTGACTTGATCATTGACTCTCATTGACCATCACAGCCTCGCACCTTGAAGGGGCGGCTGGTCCACTGCGAGTGGCCCGGTGGGCAGATGCAGAAGACAGCTCTTTGCCACTCCTTGTTGGTCGCGTTCTCCGACTTAAGAGATTGAGAAGCTACCAGGCAGGCCCACACGGCGCATCCACACACAACGTACCTTGAAGGGGCAGCTGGTCCACTGCGAGTGGCCCGGTGGGCAGATGCAGAATACACTCTTCTGCCACTCCTTGTTGGTCGCATTCTCCGACTTAAAAAAAATGAGAAGCTACCAGGCCGGCCCACACGGCGCGTCCACACACAACGTACCTTGAAGGGGCGGCTGGTCCACTGCGAGTGGCCAGGCGGGCAGATGCAGAAGACTGCCAGCTGCCACTCCTGGTTGGTCTGCCTCTCCCCCCTGGCTGCAAAGCTCCACCCCTTGATGTGCTGCCTGCCGTACATCTGCGCGCGGACGAGGGAGAGGGTAGGGGGGTGGGGGGGGGGGGGGGGGGGGGGGGGGGGGGGGGGGGGGTGAGTGCAAAGCTCCATCCTTTGATGCGCTGCCAGCCGTACATCTGCGCTGCACACGGAAGGGGTGGTGGGTGTGGCCAGGTCCAGGGGGGTTGATAGGTGTACGGAGGGGTTGAAGAGAGGAAACCCTTGAGTGGAACGGAATCTAGTGGGATCCATGTTGGTCGCCAGGGCCTTCCGCTTCCGCTTCTCAGCCTGGTCGCACATACTTGGCGTTGCGAAGCTCCACCAACCCCACCCCACCTCCACCAACCCCACCCCTGCACTTACACGGAGCAGCTCGGGGCGTAGGTAATGGCCGCGGTGCATGAGGGGTGCCTTGTGGCTCTGCTGGGCTGAGAAGCGGAAGGCCATCTGGCCCAACACTGCCTTCCCCACTCCATCCCACTCCCCCACTCCCCCACTCCCCCACTCCCCACTCCCCCTTCCTCACTCACCCCCTACCCCCCAGACAGACACACTCCTAAACATGCACGGAGCAGCAAGTAATGGCCGTGGTGCATGAGGGGCGCCCTGTGGATCTGATGGGCTGAGAAGCCCAAGGCTATCTGCCCCAACCCTGCCTTCCCCAACCCATTCCTTACGCCCTGAGCAGCTCGGGGCGTAAGGAATGGCCGTGGTGCACGAGGGGCTCCCTGTGGCCCTGCTGGGCTGAGGAGACCGTTACCCGCACCCCCACTTTCCCCACTCCCCCGCCTTCCACACTCCCACCTTCCCCACTCCCTTCTCCCCACCCACTTCACATACTTTGAGCAGCTCGGGGCGTAAGGAATGGCCGTGGTGCTTGAGGGGCGCCCTGTGGTTGGGCTGCGTTGAGAAGCGGAAGATGGCTTGTATGGTGCGGTTGCCGGTGAAAGGCGACACCATGGGTATCTGGAGGGGTTGGAACATGAAGGGGGGAGTGGGACGTGTGCGCAGAAACAGCGGAAGAGAGAGAGAGAGAGAGAGTGAGCAGCGGAAGATGGCTTGCATGGTGAGGTTGCCGGTGAAAGGCGACACCATGGGTATCTGGGGGGGTTGGGGGGTGGAGATTCGAACATAAGGGGGGGAGTGGGATGTGAGGGGGGCAGCAGGAAAGAGTGTGAGAAGCTGAAGATGGCTCGTTTTGAGACGTCTCAAAACACTTCTTCATACACCTGAGAAGCAGAAGATGGCTTGTATGGTGCGGTTGCCAGTGAAAGGCGACACCATGGGTATCTGGAGGGGTGGGGGAGAGGGGGGGGGGGGGGGGGGAAGAGGAGGAAGAGGAGAGGAGGTGTGAAGGGGGAGTGGGGCACGGCAGCAACAAGGGGGAGAGTGAGAAGCGGAAGATGGCTCGCATGGGGCGATTGCCAGAGAAGGGCGACACCATGGGTACCTGGGGGGGTTGGGGGAGGGGTGGGGAGTGGGACGTACGGGCAGCAGGGAAGAGAGCAGCGGCACATGCAGAGGGTGAGCAGCGCAAGATGACTCGCATGGTGCAATTGCCAGTGAAGGGTCAATTTTTGAGTCAACCAAAAAAATCCACTTATCACACACTGCTTATCGACTTTTTTTTGGGTCACTACCATGGTACCTGGAGGGGTGGTTGGTGTGTGTGGTGGGAGAGATAGAGTGGGAGGGAGGGACGTGCAGGCAGCATTGAGTTGATTTTTGAGGCGCCTCGAAAATCAAGTCAGTGTGGTGGGAGAGAGAGATAGAGTGGGAGGGAGGGACGTGCAGGCAGCACGTGATGGAATGGGCTGAAAGGTGGAAGATGGCTCACATGGGACGGGCATGAGGGACGTGGCATGAGGGACGTGGCATGAGGGACGTGGCATGAGTGACGTGGCATGAGGGACGTGGCATGAGGGACGTGGCATGAGGGACATGGCATGAGGGACGTGGCATGAGGGACGTGGCATGAGGGACAGGCATGTAGCAGGGAATGTTGAGACGAAACTTTGAGGTACAAGCCTAGATACAAGCCTCTCGCGTCAACGACCCACCTGGCCGCCAATAAAGGCCGGCATGACAATGTCACGGGCGGGCATGTAGCATGGGACATGAGGGAACCTTTGAGGCACGTCAACAGGCGCCACCGACCCACCTGGCCACCGATAAAGGCTGGCACGACAATGTCACGGTCGGGCATGTAGCATGGGATGTCGGGGTACTGCGGCTGCAAGGTCATGTTGTAGCTGTAGCCTATGATCTGTGCATTCGGAGGAAAGGGGAAGGGAGGGGAGATGAGGGTTGGGGAGGAGAGGTTGTGAAGGGTAGAGGGATCAGCCCATGTAGCTTGGAATGTCTAGGTACTGTGGCTGCAAGGTCATGCTGTAGCTGTATCCTATGATCTCTGAGCATTCGGGGGAAGGGAGGGAGAGAAGAGAAGGGAGGGAGAGGAGAGAAGGGAAGGGAGGGAGAGAAGAGAAGGCGGGGAGAGGAGAGGAGAGAAGGCGGGGAGAGGAGAGAAGGGGATGAAGAAGTTGATTTCCATTGAGGAGAAACAATGGTATACACAGGATGCAAGGAAAGGAGGTGGATGGGGTCAAATTGGAGTGCTCAACCACAACTGGTCACACAATGTGTTTGGTTGAAACAACAACAAGGTTGGAATTAATGTGGATTGAGCACCAACCTTCACGTTGCTTGTGTTGTGTTGGTTGCTTCACCACCACAAAAGGGGGGATTCACACCACAACACAAATGGGAGGTGCAGGCGAAGCACTGGACGAGTGGAAGGTGCAGTGCGGGCATAGGCGCAGCACACACACTGCAGTCTATCGCCCTACAGGTTCCTCTCCTCTCCCTACCTGCAGGTTTCTCTCCTCTCCCTACCTGCAGGTTTCTCTTGAGTCGACTCAAAAGTCAAGTGGAAGGTGCAGTGCGGGCGTAGCACACACACTGCAGTCTATCTCCTCTCCTCTCCCTACAGGTTCCTCTACTCTCCCTACCTGCAGGTTTCTCTTGACAGAAGCGTGCATGGTGCGCGCGAGGCGGTCCCCGTTGAGCATGATAAAAAACATCTCGCCGTACAGGTCGGGGTTGACCCAGGTCAGCGCGTGGCAACGGCCGTGATCGAACGTGCTCGTGCCGAAGTGATCTCGGCCGTTGGTGCGGTTGAAGTAGGGGAAATCGCGGCGAATCGTAGTGAGAATCTCGTGCCACGCCTGGACGGGATGTGGGGAGAGGGTGAGAGGGTAGAGGGTAAGAGGGCGAGAGGGCAAGATGGCAAGAGGGTAAAACACGTTTGAGGGGAAGTCGCATCCCAAATTACTTTGGGTCTCGTGCTATGTACTTATAGGTTTTGATATTGCACCTACTATGCAACTTATAGAATAAATATGGTGTTGCAAACCTATAAGTACATACCTCGAGGCCCTCCCATTCTTGTTACTCGATATAAGAAAAACTCACGAACGCATCTTAGAAACCTCCACGGCGACCTTACGCGTCATGTTCTTCATATGACTGTTCACACGCATGATGTGGTTCGACTCGATATAAGCAGACTCGTGAGCGCACCTTAGAGACTTCCTCGACCTAAGAATGCATCATGTTCTTCATCAGCTTGTTCACATACGAGATGCGGTTCGACGAGCAGTAGTAGGGCATAAGCAGACTCGATATAAGCAGACTCGCAGCTCACCTTAGACACCTCCCCGGCAGACTTATCCATCATGTTTTTCTCATTCTTGTTCACATGCGCGATGTGGTTCGACGAATAGTACGGGATGTAAAACAGCGTCGCCTTCTCAGGATCCGTCGTGCGAATCGCGTTACTGCGCATAAGAAGCTCCGTTAGTACCGATTCCACCTCGTATTGGTCAGAAAACCATTCCTTGGGGCGTCCCTTCATCCCCTCCGTCCACTCCGATTGCGTGTCATACACGTAAATAAACGGACGGTTGCTATCGTCGTCGTCAGCTGACGCGGCGTCTTTATTGGCCCCGGCACCGGCGCCGTCGTCCCCGCCGCCGGAAAACGCGGAGACGGATCCGATCGTCGCTGCAGGAAGGAGCTGCGAGTATCCCGCAGCGGGAACGGCGGAGGCGGACTCCCCACGGGATTCTAAATCGAGTCTTGCGTTAGGAAGGTCTCCGGAAAGATACGAGGCGGAAGCGGTGACGACGGCGGCGGTGGCGGCGGCGGCGGCGTTAGTCAGCTCGGGATTCTCTAGGTTTCTACAGAAGCAATCTTGCGATTGCATATACGAACTACTACTTAAAAGTACTATTAATATGAACGACGCAACGGCCACATAGGCGAAGTGTATGGGAACGCGCTTCGGATTTAACAGCTGCTGCATCTTTGCGGCCTGTACTCCGATTTTAGAGACGTCCAGAACTAGCATCTCCCTCGAGAACATGACGCGGTCCGGAAAACGCGAAGGCGGTCTGAGCTTCAAGCCAGAAAATGTATTTTTTGCGAAGATTAGGTTGAGGGTGGCTTGGAGAAGCGGCTCTAGACGGAGATTCGTCCACCTTCGCTGACGTCGCTCCTGCTGGTGTCGCAGATGTCATGATCTGCACCACCTAGCCGCTGCTGCTCAACTCACCCAACGACGAACCACCACGACTTTAGTGTAGTGCGCAGCGCACTGTGAGATGCACTACACAGCCGCGGCGCGAGCGGACACCCATCATCAAGAAAGAGCACCCTAGGTGGTTTTTGCTTCGGGATGAGTGAGAGGCTCGGTGACATACATACTCGACAGCTTGGTTGGGGAGCTTTCAACCTCACCGCCGAGTATCCTGGCATAGCACCTGGCGACCACCAGGTGACTGGTGGTGATCTGGCTGGTTTCGTTTTGTGATATGTAACGGCGGTTCGCGTTGACTTAGCTGGTTTCTGCGAACAAGACAAACTTCTTGTTTCGGTGGGATGGGAAGACGCAGTCGTTGAGGTTTCAGGCGAATTTGGGAGTTTGGCAGCAGCCATCTGACACGACATGGCATCGGGTCGGGCTTGGCGAGGTACAGTATTTAGTGGTTAGTGTACAGTACGTAGTAGTGTGTCCATCTGTGTAAGAAATTTCAGCGCCGGCAGGTCTCCTCGGGCCATGGTGGTGGTCGGAAGGCTATAAACTCGTCAACTTATACACTCGATAGGGTCACTCACAACTTCTGCGTAACAGAACCCAGCCCTTATTGAGGTTATACGAGAAGTAGACGCGTTTAGGGAGTGTCGCTAATGAAATAAAACAATTGTTTTCTGGTTAACCCTGTTTCTTGATGTAGCGAATAAACTGGCACTCACATCATGTTTGAATCCAGAAAAAAAGGAATGCTGAGCATCGAATTTGAACAATTTGGCTGTGCGATGCACTAAGCGACTTCTGCGACACCATGACACGCACAACATGTAGGTTGAGTTGGCGGGAGCGACAATGCGGGCGCCACTTCCTCCTTTTGTGCAAATACACCTGATGCTCGTTAGAGCCCCTCCCGGTTGCCTTGTGCTTTGGGTCTGTAAGCTAAACTGCATTTCGCATGAGGTTCGTTCGTTTCGTCAGACGTACAGCGTGCTATAAAAGTGCACGTGGTAACCACCCTGTTTGTCCGATTCGTAACAGTAAGGGATTGCAGCAATTGTCCTTCCTGTGTGCTCAAGGTTACTAAACGAACGCAACAGTAACGAAACAAGCATGCACATCAATTGTTCTTCATAGTACAAAACAACCAACACAAAGCCAACATCCAGTCAACATCCCCCACCTGACCCTCATATCCATTCAACACACAAAACGAAACAAGCACAAATGGGCACAAGGATTGATCACTTGTGCCCTGCAAAATGCATTCGACACATTGCTGGGGCTGCTCCACCCCCCTTCACAGACGCATCCACTCAGCCGCCTCCACATACCCGTCCATCACGGCGCCCACCCCGGCGTCAAGCAGCTGCTGGCGGCGGGACGGACGGGTCATCCAGTCGGGCAGCACACGGCCCCGCGGACGACGGGTCTCGGGAGTGGGAGTTGCGCCGGGGGAGGGCACGGGCTGAGGCGCCGCGTTCAGGTTGAACGAAGGGCTAGCCCGCTCCATCCGCGCGATTATGATGGAGTTGCGGATGTCGAAAAGATGGCACAAATCGCGCGGCGTGATGCAGGTGGCTCGTGCGTACCCGATGAGCATCTCGCACGCCGCACGAGCGGTGCGGCGCGCTTCACGGCCCACGGGGTCTGCGTCGTCGTAGACGGCTTGCATGGTCGTCGGAGCCTGCCAGAGCTCCACCTCCAGGCCCGCCTCCGTCTTAGTCGGCGGAGGCCCCACAGCGCCTTCGGCGCACGTGGGCTCGCCGTCGTCAATGGCGACGTACTCTGCGACCGTCATCGCCGCATTCCCAAGCGCGAGCCCGCTAATAAGCGTCCCGACATCATCGATGTCGTCGTCGAGCTCGATGTTGAGGTAAGCGGCGGGAGTGGGCTCGTCGTCGTGGACGTGCGTCAGGTCCAAACTCCACGACAGCGGAAGACACCCCGTGCGCCACCAGCACCGTTGAATGGTGCGCGCGCCGACGGAGGTCCACGCGTCCGACAGCCACGCGAGGACATCGCGCAAGTTCGGGCGGAAACGCGCGACCGCGAAAGTCGCGCCGTCGGCGTTTCACAAAGCCGAGAAGGCACGCAGCCAGTGCTGGCGGTAGCGAGCCTTTGCGGTTGCGATGATGCTCTGATCCAGCGGCTGTGTGAAGGCGGTGGTATTCGGCGGCAGGAAGACGAGCCGCACGTTGCTCATGCAGGTCGTCCGCATTCCGCAGACGATCTCGCTCCATGCGTGCTGGGAGCGGAGCATGTGGCTGCTCGCGTTGTCGAGCAACACCAGACCTTTGGCAGACATCGCAGCATTGAGCTGCGAGATGAAATGCGTGAATAGCTGAGGGCCGGGAAGGGAGGGGAGGGTGGAATACACATGGGAGCATCGTGAGCACAAGCAATGTTCGGCCATTTATGCACTAACGTGGACTTTGTGAGTCGCAACAAAAGCACCCGCATTCTATCAAAATTAACATGCTTACCGGCGAGGACATCCAGCCTTTGGCGTTGTGCCGCCAGTAGCAAAGCGCTTCGGGGTCATAATCCGGCCGGAAGTCATGCGGCCGCTTCGACTTGCTTATCACGAGCGGGCGGAATGCATGGCTCCCGTCCGCATTCACGAGGAATGCGACGGTCAGTCGCTCCTTCGATACCTTGCGGCCGGGAATGCGGCCGCTGCTGTACGTGCGCCGCGGAAGCACGCTCAGCCAGAGCGCCGTCTCGTCGAGGTTGAAAGTGTCACGCGGTGTGACGCGGAGATGCGTGAGGAGTTGCGGCAGCTTCTCACGTGCGTCGCGAACGGCTGCCATGTCCGCGCTAGCCGCCTCGCCTTGGGCCGCACGGCACCTCACCCCCTGGCGCCGCAAGGCACGGCGCACCCATCCGATGGAGCAGCGGAAGGTGGGCGGAATGCCCATGTTCCTCGCCATCGTCGCGACATGGTCGCGGATGGTCTGGAGAGTAAGGGGAACGCCGGCGGGCCCAGCGTTTGCGATCCACCGCGCCATGGCCTCCTCCAGCTCAGGCCACGCGCCACCTCGACGGCGCACTTGGTTGTCGCCGGCTGCCGTGACAGCCCATCGCTCGGCGCTCTTCAAGATGCGGCCGACTGTGGAGCGATCCGGGCGCAATCCGTATTGCGAGTAACACCACCTCGCAAGGTCCACATGACGTAGGCGGGGGTGTTCGACGTAGTGGGCGCAAAGAGCACGCTTGATATGGAGGGGGAGCTGCCCCCGTCGATTAAAACGGGGCATTGTGTGAGGCTGGGGTGTGAGAGAATGCTGACTTAGTGAGGGAGTTGAGGCCATTTTATCGTTGGAGTCGCTCTTGCCAATGCTGGCAAGGTTGGGCCTTGTTCTTTGTGGCTTGTGACATTCGTGTGGTTGGTGTTCGTTCCATGCACCTGGCTTACACATTTGATCTTCCGGGTTGGTAACCATACGGTCTGATGTCTGACGTGGGGTATGCGAACAACGCTTGGCTGTAAATGCGCTTGTACCCAACACAGGCAGATTACACGTGGCAGCGTGTATCTGCCCAGATTGTCTGTTACACGCACGATGATCCTGGCTTAGGTGGCGGGGCAGATGGGCGAATGCGTTCACGAAACCACGCTCGTTTCGTCCATTCATTTCGCCAGTCTGACCCCTGGCCTGGAAACAAGGCAACTCAGGGTCGGCTTCACTTGTTCGGGACTGCACGTGCTCAACAGCCCGAGTCGCGCGTACTGTTGCCTGCCACCCAATGTGCTTGTACTGTGGGGAGCAGCAAGCAGGGGTTTCCTGCTCGGGGGCAGCGTTTCCATCCGGTGCATGGCAAATTCGCGTGCATGGGGTGAGCATCAGCTGTACTCGTTTCTATTAGTCGAAAGCACCCATCAGAGGAACTGGTACCTCTTGTACGACATACCAAGTATTACGGCGGGTCACAAAGCTGTCCAAAACGTGTTTAAAAGAGCGGGTGCAGAGCAGACTGTACACTTGACCCTTTGTTCTGCTATATTCAACTGTGCTCCTTTGATACTTTTCCCTTAGGCTCCAGATGCAGCACGATTTGCTCTTCAAGCTGCTGTGATCGCGCTACCGCGGCAATCTTCCTCGGCCTGCTACAGAGTTTCGAGTCGACTTAAAAATCACACTAGTATGGATGCTTCTAGGTAGACTCCAAAGGCAGCCCGATCTGGTCTTGAAGCAATTGCGATTGTGCCGCCGCTGCTGCTCAAATACTCATCAGCCTGCTCATGAGCACAGACACTGTCCCCCCGTTTTGAGTCGACTTAAAGCCCATCATGCTGCTGTGATCTGTGATGCTGCTGCTGCTCCTATCCTCCTCAGCCTGCTCACGAGAACCGCCCCCGCACCCTGGTCAAAGGAGTCATGCCACTTGAACATGTCCTGTGGGATGAGCATGCAGAGAAGGGAGATTAGGAGTGAGGAGTGGTGAGCTGCTATTGTGCCGCTGCTCCTATCCTCCTCAGCCTGCTCATCAGCACAGACCCTGCTCATGGGGAATACGGCAAGGGGAATGAGCACCGCTCCTGCTCCTTGGTCCAAGGAGTCAAGCCACTTGAACATGTCCTGTAGCATGAGCATGAGGGCAGGGGATTGGGAAGAGAGTGGGGACTCGGGAGTGGGGAGTGGGTGGGTAAGGGGGAGTGAGGAATGAGTTGGGGGGGGGGGGGATTCGGGAAGGGTGAGTGGGGAGTGAATATTTGCGGTGGGGATACAAACCAACTGTGCACTCTCGTCCACAGAGTCTTGCCACTTCAAAGATTCCAGTCCCACCTGCCCCAGTCCCACCTGCCCCAGTCCCACCTGCACGAGCCCCAGGTTGTGCTGCAGCCTTGCCACCAGCCCCGGTTGATCAAAGGCGTCCTGCAGCCTGCGGGGCAGCGAGTGCAGATCCGCCGGGTCGACGTTGAGAGAGAAGAGCGGGTAGTTGAGGGCCAAGGGGGCGGAGGAGGGGGAGGAGGAGGCAGAGGCGGATGCTGCTGGTGCTGCGTGGCGGTAGAGAGAGGCAGCCCAGGGGTTGTCGTTGGCACGGAGGAACGTCACTGGGATGCAGCCTGAGAGGATTGCCTGGGAGGGTAAGGGAGGGAGGGAGGGAGGGAGGGAGGGAGGGAGGGAGGGAGGGTGAGATTGCTGGTGCGGAGAAAGGTCACAGGGATGCAGCCCGAGAGAATTGCCTGGGAGGGTGAGGGAGGGAGGGAGGGTGTATGTGAGAAAGGACGGGGAGTCGCAGGCAGAGGCAGAGGTAGAGGCAGAGGCAGAGGCAGAGGCAGAGGCAGAGGCAGAGGGAGTGGGAGTGGGAGTGGGAGTGGGAGTGGGAGTGGGAGTGGGAGTGGGAGTGGGAGTGGGAGTGGGAGTGGGAGTGGGGAGCGGGGATGAGGAATGGTGAGTGGGGAACGTCAGGGGGATGCAGCTTGAGAAAATTGCCTGGGAGGGGGTCTGACTTGAGGGCGTACGTGAGTGAGGACGGGGAGGCGCAGAGGCAGAGGCGGAGGCAGAGGGAGAGGTAGAGGGAGAAGTAGAGGGAGAGGGAGAGGGAGAGGGAGAGGGAGAGGGAGAGGGAGAGGGAGAGGGAGAGGGAGAGGGAGAGGGAGAGGGAGAGGGAGAGGGAGAGGGAGAGGGAGAGGGAGAGGGAGAGGGAGAGGGAGGAGATAGTGGGGAGTGGAGAGTGGTGAGTGGTGAAGGGGAGCGGGGAGCGAGGAGCGGAGAGTGAGGAACACACCTTGGTGAGCTGGACTGGACAGTCCACTGCGCCAGACCGGGGGGCACACAAGGCAGATGACAAGTTTTGAGACATCTCACACAAGTCTTCTTGGGACATCTCAGAGGTATTGACACGAGTTTTTTAAGACGTCTTAAAGCCCACCTTGGCGAGCTGGACGGTCCACTGAGCCCGACCGGGGGGCATGAGGCAGAAGACGCTGTCTCCCCACTCGCTGTTGCCACCCGCTGCACCATCGTCAGCATCAGCAGCAGAAGCAGCAGCAGCAGCAGATGCACCACCAGCACTATCGCCAGCAGCAGCAGCAGCAGCAGCAGCAGCAGCAGCAGCAGCAGCAGCAGCAGCAGCGGAAGCACCAGCGCCAGCAGCAGCGTCAGCAGCAGTGGCAGGGATTTCAGATGCATCCCCGCGGAGCCCCCCAGCCTGCTCGCTGTCGCCTCGAAACACCACCTTCCACCCGTAGATGGCTGCTGCATGGGACGTGTATAGCTGTGAAAAGGTGGGGGGTGGTGTGGGTGGGTAGGAGGGTAAAGGGGGGGCGAGTGAGCGTTTGGATTCGACTCACTACACACCCCAGCCTGCTCGCTGTCGCCTCGCCTTGGAAAACCTCCTTCCACCCATAGATGGCTGCTGCATGGGACGTGTGCAGCTGTGAAAAGGGGGGGGGGGGGGGGGGGGGGGGGGGGGGGGGGGGGGAGTGTGGGGTGTGGGGGGGGGGAGCGTTCTGAGTCGGCTCACAACACACCCCAGCCTCCTCGTTTCCTCGGTGAGGTAGGCAAACAGGAAACGACTGCAGCATTTGACACATGGAGCTGGAGGGTGGGAGGGAGGGTTGATTTTTGAGTCGATTCAAAATGATTTTTGATTTTTGAGTCGACTCAAAAATCAACTCTGCAGCATTTGACACATGGAGCTGGAGGGTGGGAGGGGAAAAGAGCGGGGGGCGAAGATTAAAAGGCCGTGAAGGGCCAACAGAATTCTATCAACCACGTCTCACCTCTATCAACCATGTCTCACCTCTATCAACCATGTCTCACCTCTATCAACCATGTCTCACCTCTATCAACCATGTCTCACCTCTATCAACCATGTCTCACCTCTATCAACCACGTCTCACCTCGATCAACCACGTCTCACCTCGATCAACCACGTCTCACCTCGATCAACCATGTCTCACCTCTATCAACCACGTCTCACCTCTATCAACCACGTCTCACCTCTATCAACCACGTCTCACCTCTATCAACCACGTCTCACCTCTATCAACCACGTCTCACCTCTATCAACCACGTCTCACCTCGATCAACCACTTCTCCACGGGGAAGTTGTGGTGCATGCGTTCAACCTTGATGCTGTCGGTGCTCACGTCAGCAACGCTGCTCGCTGACGTCACCAACAGCACACGGATGGTACGGCCGCCATAGGCAGCAGCATCATGAGCATCATCAGCATCAGAAGCGGCAGAGGCGGAATCAGCAGAATCAGCAGAAGCGGCAGATGCGGAAGCAGAGACGGGAGAAGAAGTCACAGAGGCTGCAGTGTGCACGCGCTTTGGGGGGATGACGTGGGTCTGAGTCAGCAGGGGCGGCACGACCACGTCTCGCTTGGGATAATAGCAGGCGATGTCCGGAATAGAGACGTTCATAGGCGCTCCGTAGTTATACGACAGCACCTGCAAGCGCACCGCAGCAGCAGCAAGGGGGAAGGGGAATGGGGAACGGGGCACGGGGGAGGGGAAGGGGGGATTTTGTTGGGGAAGGGGGAGGCAGCGGAACAGGAAAGGGGAAAATGAGAGCAACACTTAGAGCGCGGTGTAGAGCAAGTGCGGTGTAGAGCAAGTGCGGTGTACAACAGTTTCTATGCGGCGATGAAAACAGTGGTAGAAAAGCTGTCACGTGGGTCGCGATTCGCCTACCCGCATGTCTGGTGTCCATCCCGTGTGAACGCTCCGCACCAGAGCATCCCCGTTATAAGTCACGAAGAACATCTCGCCGAGCATCTTGGGGTTTATGTACGTCAGCGCGTCGCATCTCCCGTTCCGCGTCGACAAAATTGCAAAATGATCTCGGCCGTTGGATCGGTTGAAGTGCGGCTCGCGCCGCACCTTGGTAAGCATTGCCTTCCAAACCTGCGATGTCTTTTCCACCGCGTCGCGCATATCCGCACCGTCTTTCGAGACACTTAAGTAGTACTGTAGAAGCCGGGCAGAGTAAAACGGCACGAAGAACAAAGTCGCCTGTTTCGGGTCGCGGGTTCGAACCCCACCAGCGTCAGATAAAATCTGCTCCGTCAATTTCCGTTCGAGATCGAAATGTAACGCGTACGGCGGAACGTCCATCCCGGAGATGACATCCGTACAGTTGGGCCCGAACTCGTACACGTATATAAACGGCTTCTTTCCTTCCACGGCACCCGCCACGAGAAGCCGATTGAACGTGTCAGCAGGACTACTCGGTAACCGCGCGTACACGTTATAAGCGTTCGACGCGTTCTCTATAGGCCTTGGAGCAGCGCCGCCGGCCGAGGGACACTTAACTTCAGCAGCGAGGAGCTCACTAGCGGGAGCTAGAGAGCCGGTACCAACATCAGTGACAGCACTGAACACTGTGCTGACTTCATTATCGCACATACAAGCCGGCTGTTCCTGTCTGAGGATGAACAGGGTCGCGATAAGGCCGACAACCGCAAGGATAGCGACAGTGACGCGGTTCGAGAGGCTCCTAGGAGATAAGGGCGCTTCGGGCGCAAGAGGGCTCATCGACATGCTGCCGTCTGCACTAACGGTTTGCCAGAATTTGTCGCCCTCCTTGACGAGTTCGGTTTCTATCCGTAAAAATAATCAGAAAATACAATCTGAGGCTTCGTAAATGCTCCAAAACCTTGTTCGGCTTCCGAGTTCCTAGCCTGCACGGTGCATCCATGGCAGGTGTAATGGATGGCCGTTCGGTTCTTCGCGAATGCACACACTCTAGCTCCGTCGTACTGTACAGTTCTTGCAATGATGCTCGCGTGCATTGCAACGGCAGACAGCGGTTTCTCATCCCCAGCAGGTCGCTGGATTTCAGAAAGCGGTACTGATTGGTGTAAAGAAGTTGTTCACACCGCGCCACCGACTTCCGAGCCTCCATGTCAGGCCTTCCGAACCAAGCCCGAAGTTCAAAACGGCCCATTGAAAACCTCACGTGCCGTGGAGCTTTGGAGTCACTCAAATCAAAACAGCACGTACAAAATTCGCCTGAGCCCTGACCTGAACGTTTTACAGATGTTTCATGGGATTCTCCAGGAAACGTCGATCTGGCGGCAATCGACGACTCCTGAGGTGTCTGTATTTGTTTGTTTCTACATTGGGAACATCGAAAGTCACTCATCAAACCACCGAGTCCCACCGAGCCACTCATCTGCTTCGAACCAAAAGTCAACGATTCTCAACGTACCTAATCACTGTCAACCACACTTCTAATCTAAAATGACATACCTGCAACACACGCACTATAGGCACTACTCTTTCTCAATGTCCGAGCCGACGTTGTTCGCTCCCGTCGCGTCGCGGCTGTGTTTCTACTTATCACTTGCCTCTCCACTTGCGCTTCACACAAGGTCCTACTAGACTGGTCAGATTGGTTCGTTGTTGGATGAGCAGCAACTGATTTAGCTAGGAGCAACAACAGCAGAGAGGCAATTAACAACAGCAAAACCAGCGCCAGCTTCGAGACAGGGTTACTTCAGTGTAAACCAAGTGCATCTCGCATTTGAGCTTGTCACGGCCCGTTCACTCCCTAAGCTTTTTCCGATTCACACTCTTTCAGGGCTAGACTTTTAGAATCTTCGTCGTTTCCGGTCCACGTGGTGTCTGCTTTTGAGTCGACTCAAAAGCATACTTATTACACGCGATTCACACTCTTTCAGGTCTTGACGCTCAGGACCTTCGCCGTTTACGGGCCGCGTGGTCTCCTCGAGGAAAATTGCAGTTCCGAACATCACTAAGATCAAAGTACAGGCCGCTAAGATGCAGCAACAGCTGTTAAGTCCGAAGCGCGCTCCCGAGCTCTTCGCCTTTGTGGGCGTCGCGTCGCTCTTATTGATAGGCCTTCTTTGTAGTTCGTATTTACAGCTGCTACCGCAAAACTGCTTCTGTCCAAACCTAGAGAATCCCAAGTTGTCCTCCTCCTCCTCCGCCGCCGCCGCCACCGCTTCCGCCTCGTCTCTTTCCCGCGACCTCGTCAGCGCAAGACGCCATCTAGAAATCAGTGGAGTTTCCGCGACCCCTGCCACCGTTTCCGCCACCCCCGCCACCGTTTCCGCAGCGGTAGTCTCGCAGGCCCTCCCTGCAGCGACGATCGGATCCGACACCTCGTTTTCCGGCGGGAGCGGCGGCGCCGGTGCCAGGGCCAATCAGGACGCAGCTGGCGACGGTGAAAACCAGCAGTTTATATACGTGTACGACACGCAATGGGCGTGGACGGAGCCAATGAAAGGGCTCGATAGGGATTGGTACTCAAACCAATACGAGGTGGAAACGGTGCTGACGGAGCTACTTATGCGCACTAACGCGGTTCGCACTACAGATCCGGAAAAGGCGACTTTGTTTTACGTGCCGTACTACTCGTCGAACCACATCTCGCATGTGAACAAGATCATGAAGAACATGATGCAGACGGCAGTCGCGGAGGTGTCTAAGGTGAGAATGTGAGTCTGCTTATATCGAGTCGTGCCGCGTAGAATGCATCCGTAGGAAGAAGTCGCGTCTTTTGACTCGACTCAAAAACACGTTTCCTCCCTCTTTCCCCCTCCTTCCCATCTTTCCCCCTTCTTCCCCTCTTCCCCCTCTCTCTCTCCCCCAGGCGTGGCACGACATTCTCACCATGATCCGCCGCGATTTCCCCTACTTCAACCGCACCAACGGCCGAGATCACTTCAGCACGAGCACGTTCGATCACGGCCGTTGCCACGCGCTGACGTGGGTGATCCCGGACCTGTACGGCGAGATGTTCTTCGTGATGCTCAACGGGGACCGCCTAGCGCGCACCATGCACGCGTCCGTTGAGCGCAACTTGCAGGTGTGTGTAGGTGGGGGAGAGGAGAGGAACGTCCCCTCGCCCGTGGATCGCAACTTGCAGGTAGGCACTGCACATCCACGTGTCCCCCTCTCCCCTCTTTCCCCTCGCCCGCTCGACGGGGACCGCCTCGCGCGCACCATGCACACGTCTGCCCAGCGCAACCTGCAGGTGTGTGCGTGCTGAGGGAGCGGAGAGGTACGTCCCCTCGCCCGTGGATCGCAACCTGCAGGTGTGTGCGTGCTGAGGGGAGCGGAGAGGTACGTCCCCTCGCCCGTGGATCGCAACCTGCAGGTGTGTGCGTGCTGAGGGGAGCGGAGAGGTACGTCCCCTCGCCCGTGGATCGCAACCTGCAGGTGTGTGCGTGCTGAGGGGAGCGGAGAGGAGCGCGCAGGTAGGGCGAGAAGAGGGGCGAGGAGAGGAGCGCGCAGGTAGGGCGGGAAGAGGGGCGAGGAGAGGAAAGGAGCGGGGCTTGCATTGTCGGGAAGAGGGGCGTGCATTGTTGGGAAGAGGGGCTTGCATTGTTGGGAAGAGGGGCTTGCATTGTCGGGAAGAGGGGCGTGCATTGTTGGGAAGAGGGGCGTGCATTGTTGGGAAGAGGGGCGTGCATTGTTGGGAAGAGGGGCGTGCATTGTTGGGAAGAGGGGCGTGCATTGTTGGGAAGAGGGGCGTGCATTGTTGGGAAGAGGGGCGTGCATTGTCGGGAAGAGGGGCGTGCATTGTTGGGAAGAGGGGCGTGCATTGTTGGGAAGAGGGGCGTGCATTGTTGGGAAGAGGGGCGTGCATTGCATTGTGCCTCGCGCGCACCATGCACGCTTCTGTCCCAACCCAAGGAACCTGCAGTGCAGGTGCGTGCATGGTGAGAGGAGAGGAACGCACAGGTGCGTGCGTGTATGCTCAGGGGAAGGAGGGCGAGCTGCGTACCGCCTCGTCCGCTCTCCATGCACGCATCTGTGGAGCGCAATTTGCAGGTGCAATTTGCAGGTGCAATTTGCAGGTGGAGAGAAGAGGGGGACATGCAGGTGCGTGCGTTCGTGCGTGCGTGCGTGCGTGCAGGTGTTTGTAGGTGGGAGGGAGGGAACGTGCAGGTGCGTGCTTGCGTGCGTGCGGTGGGGAAGGAGGGGAAGCTGCATAGTGCCTCGCCCACCCCGCACCATCCACGCGTCCTCCCACACCGCTCATCATATTCTAATCCCTTCCCACACCGCTCTTGCCCGCCCCTTCTCGCTCTACTCCCCTCCATGCCCTCGCATCAATTGCACAAGTTTTGAGTCAACTCATAATTAGTCTCAATTCAAAACTAGTTTTGAGGTGACTTTTGAGTCGACTCAAAACCCTTCTCGCTCTACTCCCCTCCCCTCCATGCCCTCGCATCAATTGCGCAAATTGCTGGGTCCACACACCTACAACTCGCCTGTGTAGCCGCACTTCCCAAACGTCCCCTGCTAAATCCCTCTACCCCCCCACCCACCCCACCCCACCCCCTTGACTTGACCCAATGCGTGGCAGATCATAGGCTACAATACATCGACAGCTCCACCTTGTAGCCGCAGTTTCCGGATATTCCATGCTATATGGGTTAATCCCTTCTACCCCCCACACCACAACCCCCCTTTTCTTCCTACCACCACTCTTCCCCTCCCCTGAATGCGTGGCAGATCATAGGATACAGCTACAACTCCACCTTGCAGCCGCAGTACCCAGACATTCCTTGCTGCATGCTTTGAGACTCCTCGAAACTCTCACTCCCTTCCCTCCCCCCCTTTCCTCAAATGCACAGATCATAGGATACAACTACAACTCCACCTTGCAGCTGCAGTACCCAGACATTCCTTGCTGCATGCTTTGAGACTCCTCGAAACTCTCACTCCCTTCCCTCCCCCCCTTTCCTCAAATGCACAGATCATAGGATACAACTACAACTCCACCTTGCAGCCGCAGTTTCCAGATATTCCTTGCTACATGCCCGACCGTGACATTGTCGTGCCGGCCTTTATTGGCGACCAGGTGGGTTGTCCCATCCTCTCACGCCCCTCATGCCACGCCCCTCACGCCACGCCCCTCACGCCCCTCACGCCACGCCCCTCACGCCCCTCACGCCACGCTTTTCCCTCTCCCACTCTCCCCAGCGTCCCATGCTACATGCCCGACCGTGACATTGTCGTGCCCGCTTTTATTGACAACCAGGTGGGTTTTGGGCGACTTTTGAGGTGCCTCAACTGATGTTTCCTTTCCAGCTACACGTGTAACCGTAACATTTTGATCCATTCTTTTCCCTCTTTGAGTCTAGCCTCCTTTCCTTTCACCTCCTCTCCTTGCTTCTCCTCTCTTTTCCCTCTTTATTGACATTCTTTTCCTTTGGGAATGCGGTCTGTTTTGATAGCCTGCTCACATCACATCCTCCTGTCTAGGATCTCACAGAATTCACTAGGAGCGTATTTCGCTTTGTGTCACGCGCATTGTTTGTGCCATCTTCTGCTTCTCACCCTCTCCCCTGCTGCCCACACGTCCCTTTTGAGAATTCTCAAAAGCACTTGGAGCGTATTTCGCTTTGTGTCACGGGCATTGTTTGTGCCATCTTCTGCTTCTCACCCTCTCCCCTGCTGCCCACACGTCCCTTTTGAGAATTCTCAAAAGCACTTGGAGCGTATTTCGCTTTGTGTCACGGGCATTGTTTGTTGTGCCATCTTCCGCTTCTCACCCTCTCCCC